ACTGCAATGGTTAATGGATTTTCTATCTTCCTTTTAAATTATGTTGAAAACATTCATGAAGATATAAAAGGATTGGAATTGGAGTATACTACAAACCTTAGATTTCTTATATCCATTGACCTTTCAGAGAATCATATCATTGGAGAGATCCCATTAGAAGTTATGAGTTTGCGTGCATTGAATAATCTAAATCTTTCTAGAAATAATCTGAGTGGGACTATCCCTCAGACAATTGACAATCTGAGCAAAATTGAATCTCTTGATTTGTCAATGAATGCGCTCTCCGGTCCCATTCCTCAAAGCTTATCATCATTGAATTTTTTGAGCTATTTGAATCTGTCATTTAACAAGTTGTACGGAAGAATACCAACCGGGCATCAACTCCAGACCCTCGATAATCCATCCATTTATATTGGGAACGAAGGACTTTGTGGTGTCCCACTTTTGAAGAGTTGTCTGTTGTGGTTTTTGGGAAAATGTCGTAGTATTTTTTGTAAAGGCTAAGTGTTGTTTGTATTCTGTGACGTGTGCAGGACACTGCCTTAAAAGCTTAATGCCGGAGACTGTGCGGTCTTTTTCCCGACGCTTTCGACTGGCTAACACAGAAGTGCTCACGTTCTCTTTGCACTATGAGAGATACGTAGTATATATATATCGATTATTTCCAGTGTAGTCTCAGAGGACTGGGAAGGCAGATATATATAATGGTGAGAGTACCTGACTTCCCAGTATCAGCCACAACCAACCGTAAAATTAGATGAAGGAACGCAAAGGGAGGAACGCTATTTGCGTTCGTAGTGCGTTCGTAAATGTCCACTAACGCCGCGCAAAAGTCTCTCTTGACTAAGAATAATTCTGAGTGCGTAGACTAAGAATAATTCTGTGGAGTAGCGAAAAAGTCGGACAAAAATTAATTGCCGCGTAAAACTTCGACCCCACCACACCGCGTCGCGCGTGCGAACCGAGCCGAGCGGGCGGGCGGCGGCGCGCGCGGGGACTTCTCCTTTCCCTCCCTTGAAAAGATTTCAAAGGCTCCAAAAGGGTTGGCATTTAAATGATGGGAAATTGTCCCTTAGGAGACCAATGTGGGACAAATGACAAAGCTAAACCTCAACACCCTTGGATGTATTCTCCAACAATCCCCCACACATACAAGAGGTGTGGAAAAGGGCGTTTTAGTGCAATCCCAAAGGCTGACCTTAATGTCAGTGTGTAAACTTGAACTGACACGTAGTGACCTGAGTAACTTACTTCTCAGGAGTGAACTAAGTCTTGAACTCTTTGAGAAGTGGGTAGTTTTGAACTCTGGTTCACATATCAACGCTTCAGGACGTCTTCCAAGTAGATACATAAGTCTTTTCATGGTTTCGTTTGACCACTACAGCGGTGTCCACCTTGAATTCCTTATCTCTTATTTTAAGCCCATTTCCCTTGACGTGTCAAGGATGGCTTTCCTATTTAATCCTTTTGTTAGAGGATCTGCAATATTCCTCTCGGACTTCACATACTCTAGTGTGAGTACTCCATTCACAATTAACTGCCTTACAGACTCGTGTCTGACCCTTATGTGTCTTCTTTTTCCATTGTAGGAACTGTTTTTGGCTACACATATGGCAGTTTGTGAGTCACAATGCACAGATACTGATGGAGGAGAGGTCCCCCACAATGGCACGTCTGCCAGTAGGTTTCTCAGCCATTCAGCCTCTTGCCGGGCCAGATCAAGGGCTATGAATTCAGCTTCCATTGTTGACCTGGCTATACATGATTGCTTCGTGGATTTCCACGACACAGCAGCTCCTCCCATGGTAAACACATAACCACTAGTGGAGCTTACGTCATCACTGTCATTAACCCAGTTTGCGTCGCAATATCCCTCCAGGACATTTGGAAACCCACTGTACTGTAGGCCCCACTCAATAGTGCCTCTCAAGTAGCGCAGTACTCGTTTCAGGGCATGCCAGTGAACCTCACTTGGATTGTGAGTATATCGACTGAGTCGGTTGACTGCAAGAGCGATGTCCGGTCTGGTATAGTTCATTAAGAACATCAGACTTCCTATTAATTTCGCATAATTTTCTTGAGCCACTCCTGGTCCAGTGTGTTTTTGTAGTTTGACACTGGAGTCATACGGCGTTGGAGCCGGATTCACTTCATAATTGTCAAACTTCTTTAACAGTTTTTCTGTATAGTGACTTTGTGTCAACTTGTAGTTGTTTTCACTTTGTATGACTTTTACTCCAAGTATTACATCAGCCTTCCCCAAGTCTTTCATGTCAAACTTTTCAGAAAGTGACCTCTTGGTCTTCTCTATTGCTTTGACATCGGGGCTGAAGATTAGCATGTCATCTACATAGATGCAGATGAGTACTACGCTAGACTCAACTTCTTTTGAGTACAGACAAGCATCTGATCTGTTTACCACGTAACCCAGATCCAGTAGTGTGGTGTGAAATTTTTCATACCACTGTTTTGGAGCTTGTTTTAATCCGTAGAGAGATTTCACTAATCTACAGACCTTTCTTTCTTGTCCTGGTTCTACACACCCAGGAGGTTGGTCCATGTAGATTTCTTCTTCTAGGTCTCCATTTAGGAAGGCCGTTTTGACATCCATTTGATGGACTGTCCACTTGTGCGCTGCGGCTAGCGCAAATAACACTCTAATTGTTGCTATTTTTGTTACAGGTGAGTAGGTACAGAAGTAGTCTTCCCCAAACTTCTGTCTATAGCCTTTGGCTACCAGTCTCGCCTTAAACCTTTCTATTGACCCATCGGGTCTTAGTTTTCTTTTGAAGATCCACTTGCAGCCAATAGACTTGGCTCCTTTGGGAAGTTCTACTATTTCCCAAGTGTGGTTAGACTTTATTGAGTCTAGTTCACTTTGAACGGCTTCTTTTCAGAATACCGCATCAACTGAGCGCATAGCCGCATCGTAGGTCTTTGGTTCTTCTTCTAGAACCAGTTGACACACGAACTGCTCAGAAAGTTCATTTACGTCTTTCAGTTCAGTTATGTATGTTATAAAATCTGACCCAAACGTTGTTTCAGTTCGCTGTCTTTTGCTTCTCCTGAGTTGTTCAGGCTCACTCTCCACTTGTGAGTAAGGAAGCGAAAGCTCACTCTCCACTTGTGAGGAAGGAAGCGAAAGTAATTCATTCACATTAGGGGTTTTTAAAGGAAAGATAGTTTCAAAGAACTCAGCTTCCCTGGCTTCACATATAGCCCGGTTCTCTAATTGCATGAACCGATAGGCTGCACTATTCTATGCATACCCAACAAAGACTGCATCTACAGTCTTAGACCCAATGCTGGGCCTTTTGAATGAGGGTAGCCCCACTTTCGCTAGGCACCCCCATACTCTGAAGTATTTCAGATTCGGGGAGTATCCTTTCCACATCTCATATGGAGTATTATCGTACCCCTTATGGGGTATTCTATTTAGAATATGATTAGCTGTAAGTGCAGCTTCTCCCCAAAGTGCATTAGGAGCACCTGAACTTACCAGAAATGCACTTATCATTTCTTTGATAGTTCGATTTTTTCTCTCGGCTACGCCATTCTGTTGTGGCGTATAAGGGGCTGTAACTTCATGGATTATTCCATGTTTTTCACACAATGATTTAAAAGATGCAGATTCATATTCACATCCCCTATCTGAACGCAATCTTTTTATTCTCATATTTAGTTGATTTTCTACTTCATTTTTGAAGATCACAAATTTATCTTCGGCTTCATCCTTAGTTCTTAGCAGATATATTTTACAAAAGCGAGTAAAATCATCAATAAAAGATATGTAGTATCTTTTCCCACCTTTAGATTCTGTGTTTCTAAAATCTGCCAAGTCAGAATGAATTAATTCTAAGGCACATGTTGTGTTATGTTTGACTAAAGAAAATGATTTCTTAATGAACTTTGCTTCAGCACAAGTCTCACACTGTGTTATGGTTTCATTTGACACATTAGATAGCAAGTTCATATTTTTTAGTCTATTCATGCATTTAACACCAATATGTCCTAATCTAGCATGCCACATGTCAAATGAAACAGCAATATACGCAGAACTGCCAGAGCCACTGGCCACATTATTCATGTTGATTTCAGTGGTTTTGTTTGAAATGTAAGGTAACACAAAAAGACCCCCACGCATGTAACCTTTCCCCAGATAATCCCCCCTACGAGTCATTATCATTTTTTCAGACTCAAACACTAACTTAATCCCGGCCCTCACCAGTAAAGGTCCCGAGACTAAGTTTCTTCGCAAGGAGGGTACATACATTACATTGTTTAGAAACAACTTTTTTCCTGAATATAACTTTATTTCTATGGTACCACTACCTCTTACCTCAGCCACGCTATCATTGCCCATAAAGACTTGTTCACCTTGTCCTCGTGCAATAGCTTGAAAACCTTTGAAAAGGTTCTTGTTTGAGCAGAAGTGGCGAGATGCTCCAGTGTCCACGATCCACTCTTCAGAGTCTTCTATCACATTGGCTTCTAGTGTGACAACAGCTGCCACTACTTCATGGTCTTCCACCACATTTGCTTGACAATTTGAGCCTCCTTGGTTCCTCTTATGTTCAGATTCACCCTTCCTGTGGTAACACTGTGCCGCGCGATGCCCATGCTTGCCACAGACATAGCAGCCACCTGGTTTTCCTGTTTTTTTATTCTTGTTCGTTTTGAACCTGTTGTTGTTGTTTGCCTTCATGCCTTTCTGCCAACTTTTATTTTGACCATTGTGTGCAGGTTTTGACCTGTCACTTGTTTCGATTACATTAGCCTTTAAATTTTCAGGAAATGAACTCGTTTTTTGCCTTAGGCGGAATGCCTCTTCAATGTTGATATGATTTACCATTTCTTCCCACGTGCTTAGTTTAGGTTCATGTTTCATTTTATTTTGAAATTCTGACCACGATTCAGGCAACTTCTCAACCAAAGAATAAGTTTGTAGAGTATCACTTACTGGAATCCCCTCAGTGATCAGATCCCCAACTAAATTTTCAAATTCATGTACTTGAGCAATTATAGGCTTACCATCAACCATTTTGTAGTTTAACCAGCTGGCGACAGCGTATTTTTTCCGTCCTGCATCATCTGACCCGTATTTCTTTTGCAGCAAGTCCCAGATTGCCTTCGCGGACTTGTGAGGTGCGTAGATGTCCAAAAGAGAGTCAGACATGTACTGAAGTAGAATGCCTCTTACCATTTTGTTATCTCGCTCGAATTTGCTTCGACTGTCTTGAGTTGTTTCAGAAGGTTTTGCAGCTGCCGACGCAGTCGCAGATGCTTTTGGATCCGAAGTTGCTTCTTCTGTTGATGTGGTCTCGAGTTCATCCGTAGCAGGTGTGGTTGGTGTTGCCGCAGTAGGAGTTGCATGGTTGGTGAGTACATAATCCACTTCGTGTGTTTCGAAGTGCACCATCATCTTTACAGCCCACCTTCGGTAATTGATACCGTTCAGTGGTTCAATTTTTGTAAGTTCAGCAGCGGGCTTGGATAGGAGTGACGACATCTTCATGATTAAGCTTTTAACTGTTGTGGTTTTTGGGAAAATGTCGTAGTATTTTTTGTAAAGGCTAAGTGTTGTTTGTATTCTGTGACGTGTGCAGGACACTGCCTTAAAAGCTTAATGCCGGAGACTGTGCGGTCTTTTTCCCGACGCTTTCGACTGGCTAACACAGAAGTGCTCACGTTCTCTTTGCACTATGAGAGATACGTAGTATATATATATCGATTATTTCCAGTGTAGTCTCAGAGGACTGGGAAGGAAGATATATATAATGGTGAGAGTACCTGACTTCCCAGTATCAGCCACAACCAACCGTAAAATTAGATGAAGGAACGCAAAGGGAGGAACGCTATTTGCGTTCGTAGTGCGTTCGTAAATGTCCACTAACGCCGCGCAAAAGTCTCTCTTGACTAAGAATAATTCTGAGTGCGTAGACTAAGAATAATTCTGTGGAGTAGCGAAAAAGTCGGACAAAAATTAATTGCCGCGTAAAACTTTGACCCCACCACACGTGCGAACCGAGCCGGGCGGGCGGCGGCAGCGACGCGCGCAGGGACTTCTCCTTTCCCTCCCTTGAAAAGATTTCAAAGGCTCCAAAAGGGTTGGCATTTAAATGATGGGAAATTGTCCCTTAGGAGACCAATGTGGGACAAATGACAAAGCTAAACCTCAACACCCTTGGATGTATTCTCCAACATTGTCCTGGTGATGATAAACCGTCATTTGTTAAGCAGCCTACAGAAATCAAATTAACCAATGATGATCATGAGTTTTTGATGTGGTTCTACGCTGGTTTGGGACCTGGTTTCTTTGTTGGATTCATTGGAGTATTATGTACTCTATTGTTCAAGACATCTTGGCGCTATGCATATTTCAAATGTCTGGAGATCACTTTCAACAAAGTGTTTTGTTGCATTTCAATTAAACGGAACAGGTTAGTCTTCCATCAAATGCTCTTTTTTTTTTAGTCCATAGAATTCAATGATTACATATACGAATTCAAATGCTATTTTATATGCTCTATTTATGTTCTTTTTTTTTTTTAATAACATATTTTGCAGGCGTTGATGGCATTGGGGGTTTCCTTTGCGATAAACGAACTTGTTGCTTATGTATGTACTTCTGGCAATATATGTTGCAGTAGCAATATGATCGATGCTTTAGTATGTATTTTGTAATATAATTTGTTTGCCATATATTGGATTCTCAATCTGTTCTCAACAGATTTGTTGGTTAGTGTTTGTCTTAAACCATGTCATTTATAATTATAGTTGATTTGATATCATAATGTTGTTTTTATAAATAGGTGTTTGATAGATAGTGTATCAGTTAATTTTTCACAAATTTATTTAACTTTAAATTAGCAGTCGCCAGACTAGAGAGGAAGGCTTCTAATCCGTTTCTCTTGAATTACTAGAAATGAACTTGATAATTATTTATGCCGGACCACTGAGGGGGTGTTGATAGAATTTTGTAAACAATGAAAATCGCATTAGAGAGAAAAATAAGATTATTCAAACTCATGGAAGTAAATAGCATTCTTGCCATTTAATTTGAATTTAAAATTCACATTCATAATCCAGTTTAATCATAAATTAGCACCATTTAAAACAATTAAAAACATTAGCTTGTTCGATTTTTCAGACTTTAATATAAAATTAACCAGGCCAGTTAAAAATATTAGTTTCATATTTGGGTATTCTATTTTCTCCTTCCTTTACGCACTCCGGTCTTCTCTCAGTTAATTTTGAGTACAGTGGATGAAAGAGCATTCCTAGTGCTTCAACATTTAATTTTGAGTACAGTGGACCACGGGTCTCAAATTTTTTTTCCTTTACTATGTTCTGCTCTACACTACAGACTGCAATATAATCCTTGATACCTTAAAGCTTAATGCATATGTAATTTTTTCCATTCTCCCAAAATCTTTCTTTTTATTATTCTTGTCTAAACTCATTTCCTTTTCCAAGATAAATCTTCAATTTTGATCATATTAACAAACTTTAATTTAGAAGGTAACAGTCTGTAAATTCAAATCACAGTGAAGACCGGTGGAGTACGTAAAGGAAGGACACCAAGAGAAGACCTAAATATGAAATGACTATATTATCCTTGTACTTAACACTCTTTTGACGGATTAACAAACAGAGGACAATATTGAACGATAACATAAAAGTTTGGGACTACTTTATGACACCAAAGTTGTTTATGACAAAATTGAAAAAAATCATTATAATCGAGGACAATTTTGAGTATTAACTCTTATTAGTTTTGAGTTAATAATATGTCAAATTAAAATCTCAACGAGAAAAATCCAAAAAAAAACAAAAGAAGGGTATTAAATAATGTTATATTTCCTAAACAAAAATGATATTTTATTTTCTTTTTTGGGTGGGGGCTTGAAGGGTCGATGGATCAAGTCCAACACAACATCCTGCCATTAAAATGTAATGTTGACTGATATTCAAGTATAAGGAAATAAGTTGCACATTCACTACTACTAGTTATAACTTTTTTGTATACTAACAAAAAGTACTTGATCCTAACATTCTTATATTAAAATCTCCACCTAATAATCAAATCATGTAGTTGCATGTTACATACTTACATTTATGACATTTAAAGAATAACAAAAACTCATAATATTTTGACTACTCATAAATTAACTAACTTCATCATAACTTAATTAGATAAACGTTATCATTAAAAAAAATCAAGTTTATTAAATTAATAGTTGAATACACAAAAGAGTCCATCCAATAATGCCATTATGTTATTAGTGGCATTAATAAGATACTGCAGTGTCATTGTTTTACAAGTAATTTGTGCAAAATCGTGTTTGATAAATGACTGATAATCTAAAATTTGGTTGGTTTGACTGGTCAATAAACTACTTTAAAAGCATATTGGGTCAATAAAAAGGCTTATTGTATTAGCTTATTGAGGCAATAATCCAAAATTCAAAAAGCTAGCTAAGAAGAGTAGTGTTTTTTGTTAGCTGATTGGCCTTAATTGTGAAATGATCATTTTATCATTGTCATCTCTAACATTTATATCTTTCTTGTTAGTTGTTGTCCATCTGCCTCTCCCCTTTTTCTTTCTATTTCCGTAACAACAATAATAATGTTTTTCTTTCTTTCTTATGTCACTCATCAGTATAATAATAATAATAATAATAATAATAATAATAATAATAATAATAATAATAATAATAATAATAATAATTCGAAACCGGTTTTGAATTGCCCATTTGTTGTAAGTCTCTGACTCGTTTCTAGCAGGTTTTGCCCAACTATTGTTGCCGCCAACCTCGAACATGAAGGAAGAAATCCGGACATGAGCCATGGAAGTCAGGAGAAGGGTGGTGAAAAAAGCAAGCTAAGGAAATAACCATTTTACCCCTACAGTAACGGCCTAACTAACTGAAGTTTAGCGGAAGGACCAATGCTGGAACAAATCTGATAGTCAAGGGTCTTTTTTGTCCAAATTGAAAGACAAGGACCAATTTTGAAAAATCACAATAGTCGGAGGACTGTTGCCAGAATTAACTCCTAACTTAATCATCTATTAGCTATCAGTTATCAAGCATTTGCCAAACACACCCTTAGTACAAATAATTTAAAGGAAGCATTTTTATTAAATTAGTGTTATTACTCTTATGATCTTATCTCAAAAGAGTGACTAGTTTCACTTTTACCACATTGAAGCAAAATCAATCAAATTTCAATAATATTTTAAAAGTTGTTAGGAAGAAAAGAAGAAGCAAACAAAACAAACTAGACTAGCTACTTTCACAAAGTCTTGGTCATGGCCGATAGATACATTCACTACTGGAAATCTTGTTGTGTGTGTGTGTATGAAATTGTTAAAAAGGACAAAAATACTTTCACAGAGTCTTTGGTCATGGAATCTTCCGAAAGATACATTCACAAAGTCTTGTATGTTTGCTATGAAATTGTTGGAGGGACCAATAATGCTAACCGTGAAGACTGGGCAATAAATTGTGCATATTTCTTTTGACACAATCAAAATACTTCAAATTACTTTTGTTTTTATTTTATGCAAATCTTTCAACTAATTTAATGAATATCAGTTTCTGAAGAATTCTTGTGTGATATCAGTTTATACTGCTAAATGTTCTGATTTAATAATAATATTTTATTGTTAAATTTTGTTTTTATTTCGTATTTGAACTCTTCGCATATCAGGTAGGTGTCTGCTTAAATTCCTTTACTACTTCTAAAATTGTATATTAATATTTTATGAATTGCATATTTAATTTATGTTTTGGGGGTTTTATTTTTTACATATAAATTACTAATTAAAATAAATATACACTTTTAGTTTTAGCAAGAATATCACTGATTAGTTTTAAATACCACGGTAAAGGAATAATATCCTAGTCTATAATAATCTTTTAACATGTATGTTATTCATTTTCTTAAATGAGAAATCTAGTTAGTTAAAATTTAAAAAAAAAAAAAAAAAAACTACATTTACTCTTACTTTTTACTCAACATTTATTCAATTCTTTGCTTATCTAACACAATATGATCAAATTTTAATTATAACTAATTTGCACCGTCAAGGAGTGTAAAAATTTGCACCGTCAAGGGGTGTCAGAAGTTTGCACGGTCAAGGGTGTAAGAACGACTTACAAAGTCTTTGGTTACTACAATTGGGATGTCTAAAAAATGTTTGTAAGTATATGATTATTGTAGGGGAAGACTTATGACGTGAGCTTCACTTCATAGACTAAGTAGTTACGTTGATTCTCATGCTAGTAGTAAATATACAAGATATCAATGTTTTGTACCTTTGGCACACATAATGGGGTATAGAAGACTTAGAGACAAGTCTTTGATTGTGAACACTTGATATATCTACATCATAGTGGGGTAAAAATAGATATTGAGACAAGTCTTCAGTGGCAAGAAAAGGTAGTCCACCTTATATTAGAGAGTTTGGTTATGAGTAGTAAATTTTGAGGGCTCATCATATAGTAATTTTTTATTATATACATGACGAGAATAAAAAATCATAGTGCATTTGTATAAGGAGATTGGTAGAATTTAAAAGTCACATATGCATATGTAGAGAGTATATATAAGAAGTCTATTTTTCACCATATTGATAAAATACAAAAATTATGTTTACTAAAATTTGCAGAATATATAAGTCATCACTACATATGCATTTGTACGTAGAGTGTATAATATTATTTCTCAAGTCATAGTGGACTCTGATCTATGTTTTATAACGAGGAAATATATGTATATATGGCTAATGTATAGTATCACAAGCAATTTGGTTATGCTCATATAGTAGGACACATACAATTCAATGATATTAGATATTTACTTCCAAATCAAAAAACAATCGTAACAAGCAAAACATTTAGTTTAAAATTTAAAAGTATTGTATTATTCATTCCAAAAATTAGATGATCTTGTTTGTGAGATCGTTTCACATAAAACCTAGAAAACCTAGAATACCTTTTATAGATTCATAGTAAAGTATTATATTTATGTTAAAAAGTATTACACATGTCATATATATATATATGGCGGTCGATCTTGTATTATTTCCAATTATGATAGACATCCATTTAATACTATTCAATTTAAATGACTCAAATTTTGGATATAATTAATTTGCACCCTTCTTCTTCTTCTTTTTTTAATGAGAAAATTGTAAAAAATGCCCCTCTATAATATGTCAATTATCAATGTCACCCCTGAATTATGAGTGGTGTAAATGTTGCCCCTCAATTATCAAAATGGTGCACATATAGCCCCTCCCGTAAAGGACATGTGGTTCCCCGTTAGTGTACGACACCGTTAAGTTGGAGTAAATATGTAATTTAGTTGTTTTTTTTCTCCCTCGATTCGAAGTACCAACGATGGATAGCGGTTGGGAACTACAGGTCCGTTACGGGAGGGGCTATATGTGCACCACTTTGATAATTGAGGGGCAACATTTACACCACTCATAATTCAGGGGTGACATTGATAATTGGCATATTATAGAGGGGCATTTTTTATAATTTTCCCTTTTTTAATCATTCGGTTAACCGACAATTTCGAACCGAATTAACCGTTAAACCGAAATTTTAAAAAACTTTTAACTATTAATCAAACCGAAAAAATTTAGTTAAAAAACGATTAATCGAAATTTGTCAATTTGATCGGTTAACCAAAAATTTACTGAAATTTGCACACCCTTTTGGACAAGAAATTATGCAAATAATTAATATTTTGTAACTTTACCGTTAATCTTTTGCTAACCAAACCATTCAATTGTTGGTTAGCATCTGACAATGCAACATTGATAGATTAGCAATGAAGTTTTCATGAAAATTAATCTATCTTTTATAAGTTTAATTTGGGAGTCACTTTTAAAAACTAAAAATCATGTGTAATAATTCAATTTTATACCATTATATTATTGCAAATATATATAACATAAAGATGGAACATAATATTTGTTAAAAAAATAATATATCAAAAAAAATTCACTTAAAAATTACATTCTCAACGCATACATAGATTTGAAATCATCCACAAAGATTAATTTAAATATCACAACTACTACACTTAATTGTAATTTTGAAATTAAATTTTATGTGGAAGGAGAAAATTCTTCCTTTTGTGTGATTTAACATGGGAGGGGGAAGAAAGCATATACCAAAAGAACCGTCAAACATATGATGCTATATATATATCTGACATATGCTGCTTCCATACACAAAACTCAAAGGAACTAAAAAAAAATTGTATTTACTTTTGAGACACCATGAAACATACCAAACAAAATATTATGCTAGTGCTTATTTTTCTTCTGTTCATTTGCAAATTTGAGTATTGTTACTCAAATGATGTTGCTAGTTGCGTTGAAGGGGAACGAATTGCTCTTCTCCAATTCAAGGAAAGCTTAATTCATACATCAAACCGTCTCTCTTCATGGAGCGGTCTTGATTGTTGTGAATGGGAGGGAATTTCTTGTAGCTCAACAACTGGCCATGTCCTAAAGCTTGATTTGCACAACCCAGCTACATTATCTGATGGTGATTTAGAGAACTATTGGTCACATCATGTTTTGCCATCAAACTATAGCAACAAGTGCTTGGGAGGTGAGATCAATCATTCTCTTATCAACTTAACACATTTGAATTACCTTGATCTAAGCCTCAACAATTTTTCTGGGATCCGAATTCCTGAATTCTTTGGATCTTTCAAAAACTTGAGGTATCTTAACATCTCAAGCTCTGGTTTTTTTGGAAATATTCCCACTCATCTTGGAAATCTTTCAAGTTTAGAGTATCTCCACCTTGGAGAGGCTTTGGTTAGTGTTCCATCTTATAATGATTTGGCTACAGATAACTTGGACTGGTTGGCTAGCCTTTCTTCCCTAAAAAGCCTTGACATGTATGGAGTTTCAATTCGGCATAGTGAAAATTGGTTACGCACAATCAACAAGCTTGTGTCTTTATCTTCTTTAAACTTGGCTGTATGTGACATCAACACAACTAGTCCTCTTTCACATGTTAACTCCACCTCTCTCATCTCCCTTGATCTCAGTGCGGATAGATTAGATTCTGCAATCCTTCCATGGTTGTCTAATCTCACAAGACTAGAGCATTTGAATCTAGGCGACAACTCTCTTAATTCTAGCTTGCTAGAAATCTTTGAGCCCTTTCCCTCTCTAAAGGTCCTTGACCTTTCTTTTAATATCTTTACAGGCACACTAGTTCCGTTGTGTAAGTTTCACAAATTGGTTTTCATGGATCTTAGTTCTAACAGTTTTCAAGGTTCAATTTCCAATTGTCTTGGGAACTTGACTTCTTTAACCTCTCTTAGATTAAGTGATAATGACTTTACTGGTTCAATTCCCAATTCTCTTGGAAACTTGACTTCTTTAACCTTTCTTAGTTTAAGGATGAATAGCTTTACAGGTTCAATTCCCAATTCTCTTGGAAACATGACTTCTTTAACCTCTCTTGATTTAAGTTCTAATAGCTTTACAGGTTCAATTCCCAATTCTCTTGGAAACATGACTTCTTTAACCTCTCTTGATTTAAGTTCTAATAGCTTTACAGGTTCAATTCCAAATACCATTGGTAGTCTTTGTAGATTGCAAGTTCTTGATTTATCCTTGAATCAATTGACGGACTCCATTGTAGTTCTTTCTGATTGCCTATCAGATAGTTTGAAAGAATTGTACTTAGATTCTAACAATTTCATTGGTCAACTTCCAAACCAGTTGTACAAGTATAAGAATTTGGAAGTCCTTTCCCTGTCTTCAAACTCCTTCTCTGGTCCAATAATGGAGTCACTTGGAAATTTGTCAATGTTGCGATTGCTGGATATTAGTAACAATAAGTTTAGTGGTAGTGTCCCCTCTAGTCTTGGTGAACTTTCAAATCTTGAAGAGTTAGATATATCTAATAATTCATTGGTAGGTTTCCTCTCTGAATTCCACTTTTCAAAACTCAGTAAGCTTCAATCTTTGTACATATCTAGTAATTTGTTTTTTTGGAATGTAAGCTCCAACTGGGTTCCTCCTTTTCAACTCCTTGACATAGCAATGGAATCCATCAAAATTGGTCCTCATTTTCCTCATTGGCTTCGTACTCAAAGATATGTTGATTCCCTGTTTATTTCTAATGCCAGCATCTCAAGTGCTATCCCTGATTGGTTTGAGAAATTTTTCTGGAACACCTCTCAATTAGATCTCTCTAAAAATCATATAAGTGGAGAGCTTCCCTTGAAACCACATGTTGAAGGTTACATGCAGATGAGTTATCTTTCTCTGTCAAACAATTATTTGAGTGGTGGCATCCCCAAGTCGCTATGTAGTTTAAACTCTTTACGGATTCTTGCTCTATCCACAAATCAGTTATATGGAGAAATACCTCCATGCTTAGGAAAACTACATAGTTTGATTGTTCTTGACTTGGGGAATAACAATCTAAGTGGCCGTATTCCAAAATCATTGGGATCTCTACAAGGATTATTCTCTCTCCACTTGCAGAATAATGAACTTGATGGGAAACTTCCATCAAGCATGCAGAATTTAACAAATCTGATGACCTTGGATTTGAGTGAAAATAAATTTATGGATGTTATACCTTCATGGATTGGGGAAAAATTATTGAGTTTGAAATATCTCATCTTTTATAGAAATAAGTTCTATGGGGATATTCCATTGCAACTATGTCAACTGCAGGATCTTCAATTGTTAAATTTGGCAAATAACAACATATCAGGATACATCCCACAGTGTTTTGGAAACTTTACTGCAATGGCTTTTGATGGCGACCATACACCTATTGGGTACGCCATGTATAATGCTAAAACGTATGAAGATCAAATTGATGAAGTCGTAAAAGGATTAACATTGCAGTACACTAAAAACCTTCAATTCCTGATATCTATAGATCTTTCAGGGAATCATATTGTTGGAAAGATCCCGATTGAGATAATGAGTTTGCATGCATTGGAGAACTTGAATGTTTCTAGAAATAATCTAAGTGGAACAATCCCTGAGGCTATTGGCAATTTGAGCAAAATTGAATCACTCGATTTATCTAGAAATGAACTCTCTGGTCCCATTCCACCAAGCTTGTCATCCTTGAATTTTTTGAGCCACTTGAACTTGTCATTCAACTATTTATATGGGAAAATACCAACTGGAAGTCAACTTCAAACCCTCAATGATCCATCCATTTACATGGGCAACGAAGGACTTTGTGGTGCCCCTCTTTCAAAGGGTTGCTCCAGTGATGTCGTGCCAACTTTTGTTAATCAATCTACAAAAATCAGTAGTGATGATGACGACCATGAGTTTTTCATGTGGTTCTATGCTGGTTTGGGGCCTGGTTTCTTTGTTGGATTCATTGGAGTATTAAGCATTCTACTGTTTGCAAGATCTTGGAGCTATGCGTACTTCAAATTTTTAGAGATTGCTTACAACAAAATACTCAATTGTTTTTATTAAAGGTTAGTTTTCAATATGCTTTAAACAAATAGCTTTATTATTATTATTATTATTATTATTATTATTATTATTATTATTATTATTATTATCATTATTATTATTATTTACCATGTATGCCTATTTTTTTACAAGCTAGCTAAATGAGAATGACATGACTATTCACATTTTTCAGGTCAATGCTAGTCAATGAGCAATTGTGTGTTGAAGGTATTTGTCATTGGTCTTCAATGTGGATTACTCTTGACATGTTGGAAGGGAGTTTCTTCCTCTAACTTGAAAGGCAAAAGAGTATTGTTGATTTTGATATAATTTGCAATTGATGTTCATCTTATTTATTATTGGTTTTTCAATGTCATGCGTATTGTATTTGTCATATTTAAAATTTGTAAACAAATTCTTATTGAGATGTGTGTTTAATATCATATTGTGTTTACATATATTTTTTTCAGTTCTTTATTTATTATGTTTCTATTGTTTATAATGGGAACCAGAGAGATAGTTGAAGCAAATGACAAATTCAAGGTACATAGTTGCAAAGCACATACAAGAAAATTAATGGTGATTTGAAGTGAACATTCTTTTCATCATAGATATGATGAAGTAAGCACAAAATTAAAGGAAATGTGGAGTCAAGTGTTCTTATCTTTTCCAGCTGAGGACTTAAACCATGGTATCCAACCCGAAGTTGTGTTCTGGTAGAGTTTATAAGCTTCAACTCTGTAAGCTTGTTTAAGCATTCTCTTCTCTACAAGCACGGTGACATACGCCAAGCACAAGCTGTTTATGAGCGGACCAACAAAACTCCAAGCATGACCCAAACGCCACGCGAATATGGCCAGTCCCCACCACCATAACTGCTCGCCAAAGTAATTTGGATGGCGTGAGTACCGCCAAAGCCCTGTATCCAGATTTGGCACCATAGGTTGGCTCAGCTCTTTCAACCTTTTATTTCTGCTAACAAAATTGTGAAGTTGTGTATCGGCATAATAGGCGATTATAATGCCAGATAAACAGACTCCTATGGCAACAAAGTCCCATACATTCAATGGCATATTCTCTGAGTGGACAACATATAAGGGCATGCATATTCCCATTAAAAAGACCTGCAAATTCAAAATTATGCAAACACTACAACTTCAGCAGCTGGAAACATAGAAGTGGATGATAAGCAAAGCCTAGCAGCCATCTGGAAGTGTAAAAAGCATCCATGAAGAACAAAGAATAAAAATTTGATGACTATCACTCTGGTTTTCATGTTTATGGGATTTCATGGGTATTTTTTGCTTCAAGTTTCGCAGAATGGAAGTGGTATCATCAACTTGTAGAGTGTGGATCATGGTGACCTTATATACTAAATAGTTTAGCAAATAGCAAGCACAGTAATGGGTAAATATGATTGTAAAGGGAAGGAGATAATACATCCCGGCTTCCTCATCCAATTATTTCTTTCTTGGATATAAACAAGTTAATAATGCCTAGCTTTATTAGACTTTTTTTGGGTGTAATTAGGGTTTCTACCGCCGGACACAGTGACTAATCCCCTCGATGAATTGTAGGCACCTCTAATAGGTGAGACAGCTAGCCTGGATCGAACACTTAGCGTTTGGTTAAGGATAGATGAGTCTCTTCCACTCAAGCACACCCTAGGTTAACTTTATTAGAATATGGGTCAGAGGGATTTGGTATTGTTTTTAGGTCCAGTGAATTTATGAAGAAAACTAGCACAAAGCAGCAACCTTTATTATATGTTGAGTGACTGTAATTTGTACTGCATATTCTATCCATGTGCAGCTTTCTCCTAGTCATTGCACTAATATGAATTACCAAATTAACTAAAACCAGGGATTAAAAACGAAAATTATTATACCACTCATTTGAATGAAACTCAAACATAAGGTAAACTAATTACTCCAGAAATTTCAGAGGCAATTTATTGTACACTTGGAGTGCACAAAGAAAAACCATAATTTATTTATAATTTTGACCCTTTTGTTTAGAAATGATCATGATCCATCAGAGCATCTTGGTAACTCACTGCACACAAGGAGACCACAGTGTCTCCTTCTCAACCGGAAAAGGGGACCAGTGGTCACCTTCTCCTTCTCCGTGACCAGTGACCGTTCGTCCGTCGCCGATCATTTTTTTGCCTGAAATTTTTTTCTGAGGGTGGCCGAATCTCTAATGATCAGTGATAACAAGTCATTTACCTGTATTTGAGCTTCATTGCATCAAAATGAATTGTTGATGGGTGTAATTGTACATTTCAAAAATTGAGGGAGAAGGCTAATTGACTTTTTAGTTAAAGTTTGATGACCTATTTGACCATTTTTCTATTTTAAAAGTTGTTATGAAGAAAGAAGAAGCAAACAAAATAGACTAGAGTAGCTATTTTCACAAAGTCTTAATCATGATGTCCTCTGAAAGATACATAGTATGTTTGCTATGAAATTGTTGAAGGAGAAATAATGTGCATATTTCTGTACACACTGCACAATCAAAAGTATGTACTTCAAATTAATGTTTTTTTTAAGGCAAATCTTTCAACTAATTTAAACAATATTAGTTTCTGAAGAATTCTTTTGTGATATCAGTTTATACAGCTAAATATTCTGATTTAATAATAACAATAGTATTTTACTATTAAATTTTATATTTATTTCGTATTTGAATTCGTCGCATATCAGGTGTTTGCTTAAATTCCTTTACTACTACTAAAATTTTATTTTAATATTTTATAAAACAGAAAGGTCAAATAGGCTCATTATTACTCGATCATAAGTGCTCAATTAATTCATTGATCTAAAATAAAAGCGTGCTCAATTAATTCATTGATATGAAATAAAAGCTAATTTGATACGTAAACTTCATAAAATTCTTGCATGTATCATTTTTTCTAGGTTCCAATAGATTCTGATGACATGGCGTCCGATTAAGTTGATGTGACTAGCAATTTTTTTTTTTTTGACATAGCGCCCAACAAAATAATATTTTCCTGGACATGGCTTTAGATCAATCCACTAAAAAGTGAATTTTTCAATTCTTGGTGGTTCAAAATCCACCGGTGAAGCATTATAATTCCACCTTCCGATGGAATTGCTTTGATCCACTAAAAAGTGGATTTTTCACTTTTCGGTGGTATGACATCACTCTAATTCTATTTGAGGTGACTAAAATAAAAACTTCCTTTATAAATTTTTCATTTTCATTTTATTCTCTAGTAGATAAAATTTAATCTTTCCAAAAAAAAAAAAAAAAAAAAATGCACGTGTACCCCTCTTGAAAAGATTTTAAACCTAACACATTTACTAAATGGGTCTTTCCAAAAATTACACAAATGTAAAAATAATATACATATTTGCACCTTCCATCTTTGACAATAATAAAAAAAAAAAAATCCTCCTAGAATTACGAGTTTTGTAAATTGGAGCTTTCAATCCACAACGATAGTACATCGCAAGCATCACAGGCTCATTGATGACTGTTATTTTATACTATATTTTACCCCATTGTGCATAAAACGTCCCAATTCATGTGTGCATTGGAACTTATTTGTATAATTTATGTTCTTAGGCACATTTATTCACAAAAAGTAAAGGAGGAAGCATTTTGGCACATTTTTGGTCAATTTTGGAATCAAAGAACCCATTTGAGAAAGATTGAGCATTGGAGCAAACAAGTGAAGAACGAGGAGGCTAGGAGAACTGGTATAGCCATGCCTGAAAAAATTGGCACGACCATGCCAAATCGAGGCAATGTGCACACCATTCTGGGCCGAACTAGGCACAACCATGCCACTGTGCGCTTTCTAAGCACTATTTAAGAGTGGCGCTTTTTGATGTATTTTGTAGGGGAACAAACCCTAGAGTGTTCCATCCGACTTTCCTTTATTTCCTTTCATCCTTAGGGTTAGATTAGCTCAGATTACATATCTTTAAAACATTTACAAGCTTTTAATCATGGATTAAAGTAGGATTCAACCTCAACCTAGCATTTCATAGAGAAGTTATTCTTTACTCTTTCTTTTATTTCCTTTGCAATTTCTTAATATTCTCATGTATGTGCTTTTTACTTGTTCTTGTTTATGAAATGTGAGTAGTCCGTTTTGGGATTTCGATTAGGGGTTAATCCCCTTTCTAAGTGCTAGCTATGTAGATCTTGCATAAAGGGCGAAACATCCAATTCTAGGATTCACTATTGTGAAGAAGTTTATGTTTGAATCTGGTTGATTCTTGATGCGCACAAAGATCGGATTGTTTTTGGAGAGTAAATCACACCAACTTTTTTTAAAGAGTTGTGAAAAGTCACATTTATATGCTCTTTTTGTACTAGTGCGTGTCATTCTTTTCTAAGTAATTTGCGCAAAAGAGTTAATACCATCTGAGGTCCTCCAAGTATTGTGGTTTTTCCACGTTTAGTCCTAAACTTTCAAATTGACCATCTGTGGTCCTTCGACTTTCAAATTTAACCATTCGTGGTCTAAGTTAACCACCCATGGTCCTTCAAGTTTCGAAATTTAACCAGTCCTCTTGAAAGGACCATGGTTGGTTAAAATTTAATAGTTGAAGGATCATGGGTGATTAACTTGGACAACGAATGTTTAAATTTAAAAGTCGAAGGACCACAAATGATCAATTTGAAAGTTTAGAACTAAATGTGACAAAATCACTATACTCGGAGGACCTTAGATGGTATTAACTCTATCGGAAAATATTACCCTTAATGACATGCCTTAACAATCAATCAAAATGACACCACTTGAAATAAGATTTAGTACAAATAATTTAAGGAAGCAAGCATTTTTATTAAATTACTGTTATTACTCTTATGATCTTATCTCAAAAGAATGACTAGTTTTACCATTCTGAAGTGAAATTAAATTAATTAAATTACAATAATATAATATTTTAAAAGTTGTTATGAAGAAAAGAAGAAGCAAACAAAATAAACTAGACTAGCTATTTTCACAAAGTCTTGGTCATGAATCATGTTGTCCTCCGAAAGATACATTGTATTTTTGCTATGAAATTGTTGAAGGAGAAATAATGCATGCACACCTTACCGTGAAGATTGGGCAAGAAATTGTGCAACTTACTTTAGTGCATATTTCTTTACACACTGCACAATCAAAACTACTTCAAATTACTTTTGTTTTTTATGCAAATCTTTCAACTAATTTAAACAATATCATTCATCTAAAAAAATGTAAACAACATCAGTTTCTGAAGAATTCTTTTGTGATATATCAGTTTATACTGCTAAATATTCTGATTTAATAATTATAGTTTACTTTTAAATTTTATATTTATGTCGTATTTGTCTTCTTCGCATATCAGGCGTTTGCTTAAATTCCTTTACTACTACTAAAATTTTATCTTAATATTTTATAAATTATATAATTATTTTTCGGTGGTTTTAGTTTTTACATATATATTACTAATTAAAATAAATTTGCAATTTTAGCGGTAATGATAAGTCTTACAATTATTCATATTAATTAGTTCGAGTCCAAGTTTTAATGATTATTTATATCTCCAACCAAAAAGCCACCTAAGTTTAATTATATTAAGTTAGTTAAGTATAAACATTATATTGGTTTTGGTGTGAAACACACATGATATGAAGCTATAATAGACTTGACCAACGTAGGGTGTTAAACACATGCATGATGATATGATGAATGATGATGTAGTAGACTTGACCAACGAAAACATGGGTATATATATATATATATATATATATATATATATATATACACTGACATATGCTGCTTCCATACACAAAACTCAAAGTAACTCAAAGAAAAAAATATAGTATTTACTTTTGAGACTCCACCATGAAACATACCAAACATAATATTATGTTAGTGCTTATTTTTGTTGTGCTCATTTGCAAATTTGAGTATTGTTACTCAAATGATGCTGTTAGTTGCGTTGAAGGGGAACGAATTGCTCTTCTCCAATTCAAGGAAAGCTTAATTGATATATCAAACCGTCTCTCTTCATGGAGCGGTCTTGATTGTTGTGAATGGGAGGGAATTTCTTGTAGCTCAACAACTGGCCATGTCCTAAAGCTTGATTTGCACAACCCAGCTACATTATCTGATGATGATTTAGAGAACTATTGGTCACATCATGTTTTGCCATCAAACTATAGCAACAACTGCTTGAAAGGTGAGATCAATTATTCTCTTATCAACTTAACACATTTGAATTACCTTGATCTAAGCCTCAACAATTTTTCTAAGATCCGAATTCCTGAATTCTTTGGATCTTTCAAAAACTTGAGATATCTTAACATCTCAAGCTCTGGTTTTGTGGGAAATATCCCCACTCATCTTGGAAATCTTTCAAGCTTAGAATATCTCCACCTTGGACAAGCTTTGGATGGAGTTATATATAATGATTTGGCTACAGATAACTTGGACTGGTTGGCTAGCCTTTCTTCCCTAAAAAGCCTTGACATGCATCGGGTTCCAATTCGGCATAGCGAAGATTGGTTACGCACAATCAACAAGCTTGTGTCTTTATCTTCTTTAAACTTGGCTGATTGTCACCTCAACACAACTAATCCTCTTTCACATGTTAACTCCACCTCTCTCATCTCCCTTAATCTCAGTTTGAATAGTTTAGATTCTGCAATCCTTCCATGGCTGTCAAATCTCACAAGACTAGAGCATTTGAATCTACGCGGAAACTTTCTTAATTCTAGCATGCTAGAAATCATTGAGCCCTTAGCCTCTCTAACAGTCCTTGACCTTTCTGCAAATACCTTTACAGGCACTACACTGGTTCCGTTGTGTAAGTTTCACAAATTGGTTTTCATGGATCTTGGTTCTAACGAATTTCAAGGTTCAATTCCCATTTGTCTTGGAAACTTGACTTCTTTAACCTTTCTTAGTTTGAGGATGAATAGCTTTACAGGTTCAATTCCAAATTCTCTTGGAAACTTGACTTCTTTAACCTTTCTTAGTTTAAGGATGAATAGCTTTACAGGTTCAATTCCCAATTCTCTTGGAAACATGACTTCTTTGACCTCTCTTGATTTAAGTTCTAATAGCTTTACAGGAGGTTCAATTCCCAACTTTCTTGGAAACATGACTTCTTTAACCTCTCTTGATTTAAGTTCTAATAGCTTTACAGGAGGTTCAATTCCCAACTTTCTTGGAAACTTGACTTCTTTAACCATTCTTAGATTAAGTGAGAATAGCTTTACAGGTTCAATTCCAAATACCATTGGTAGTCTGTGTAGATTGCAAGTGCTTGATTTCTCCTCGAATAAATTGACGGACTCCATTGCACTTCTTTCTGATTGCCTATCAGATAGTTTGAAAGAATTGTCCTTAGATTCTAACAATTTCATTGGTCAACTTCCAAACCAGTTGTACAAGTATAAGAATCTGGAAATCCTTTCTCTGTCTTCAAACTCCTTCTCTGGTCCAATAATTGAGTCACTTGGAAATTTGTCAATGTTGTATTCCCTAGATATTAGTAACAATAAGTTTAGTGGTAGTGTTCCCTCTAGTCTTGGTGAACTTTCAAATCTTGAAGAGTTAGATATATCTAATAATTCATTGGTAGGTTTCCTCTCTGAATTCCACTTTTCAAAACTCAGTAAGCTTCAATCTTTGCACATATCTAGTAATTTGTTTGTTTGGAATGTAAGCTCCACCTGGGTTCCTCCTTTCCAACTCTCTTACATAGCAATGAAATCCATCAAAATTGGTCCTCACTTTCCTCATTGGCTTCGTACTCAAAGATATGTTGAATACCTGATTATGTCTAATGCCAGCATCTCAAGTGCTATCCCTGATTGGTTTGAGAAAATTTTCTGGAACTGCTATGTATTATATCTCTCTAAAAATCATATAAGTGGAGAGCTTCCCTTGAAACCACATGTTGAAGGTTACATGCAGATGAGTTATCTTTCTCTGTCAAACAATTATTTGAGTGGTGGCATCCCCAAGTCGCTATGTAGTTTAAACTCTTTACAGATTCTTGCTCTATCCACAAATCAGTTATATGGAGAAATACCTCCATGCTTAGGAAAACTACATAGTTTGATTGTTCTTGACTTGGGGAATAACAATCTAAGTGGCCGTATTCCAAAATCATTGGGATCTCTACAAGGATTATTCTCTCTCCACTTGCAGAATAATGAACTTGATGGGAAACTTCCATCAAGCATGCAGAATTTAACAAATCTGATGACCTTGGATTTGAGTGAAAATAAATTTATGGATGTTATACCTTCATGGATTGGGGAAAAATTATTGGGTTTGAAATATCTCATCTTTTATAGAAATAAGTTCTATGGGGATATTCCATTGCAACTATGTCAACTGCAGGATCTTCAATTGTTAAATTTGGCAAATAACAACATATCAGGATACATCCCGCAATGTTTTGGAAACTTGACTGGAATGGATTCTGATAGCAACCCATCATACGATGGAAATGAATATCCTTTTCCAAGGTACGAAGATGTAATTTATGAAGTCATAAAAGGATTAAAATTGCAGTACACTAAAACCCTTCGGTTCCTAAAATCTATAGATCTTTCTGGGAATCGTATTGTTGGAAAGATCCCAGTTGAGATAATGAGTTTGCATGCATTGGAGAACTTGAATGTTTCTGGAAATAATCTAAGTGGAACAATCCCTGAGGCTATTGGCAATTTGAGCAAAATTGAATCACTTGATTTATCTAGAAATGAACTCTATGGTCCCATTCCACCAAGCTTGTCATCTTTGCATTTTTTGAGTCACTTGAACTTATCATTCAACGATTTACATGGGAGAATACCAACAGGAAGCCAACTTCAAACCCTCAATGATCCATCCATTTACATGGGCAACGAAGGACTTTGTGGTGGCCCTCTTCTAAAGGGTTGCCCTAGTGATGTACCATCTTTTGTTAATCAATCTACAAAAACCAGTAGTGATGATGATGACCATGAGTTTTTCATGTGGTTCTATGCTGGTTTGGGGCCTGGTTTCTTTGTTGGATTCATTGGAGTATTAAGCATTCTACTGTTTGCAAGATCTTGGAGCTATGCGTACTTCAAAGTTTTAGAGACGGCTTACAACAAAATACTCAATTGTTTTTATTAAAGGTTAGTTTTCAATATGTTTTAAACAAATAGCTTTTTTATTAGTATTATTGTTATTATTATTTACCATGTATATATGCCTATTTTTTTACAAGCTAGCTAAATGAGAATGACATGACTATTCACATTTTTCAGGTCAATGCTAGTGAATGAGCAATTGTCATGGATCTTCAATGTGGATTACTCTTGACATGTTGGAAGGGAGTTTCTTCCTAACTTGAAAGGCAAAAGAGTATTGTTGATTTTGATATAATTTGCAATTGATGTTCATCTTATTTATTATTGGTTTTTCAATGTCATGTTTATTGTATTTGTCATATTTAAAATTTGTAAACAAATTCTTATTGAGATGTGTGTTTAATATCATATTATGTTTCTATTATTACATATATTTTTTTCAGTTCTTTATTTATTATGTTTGGATTATTTATAATGGGAACCAGAAAGATAGTTGAAGCAAATGACAAATTCAAGGTACATAGTTGCAAAGCACATACAAGAAAATTAATGGTGATTTGAAGTGAACATTCTTTTCATCATAGATATGATGAAGTAAGCACAAAATTAAAGGAAATGTGGAGTCAAGTGTTCTTATCTTTTCCATCTGAGGACTTAAACCATGGTATCCAAGCCGAAGTTGTCTTCTGGTAGAGTCTGTAAGCTTCAACTCTGTAAGCTTGTTTAAGCATTCTCTTCTCTACAAGCACGGTGACATACGCCAAGCACGAGCTGTTTATGAGAGGACCAACAAAACTCGAAGCATGACCCAAACGCCAGGCGAATATGGCCAGTCCCCACCACCATAACTGCTCGCCAAAGTAATTTGGATGGCGTGAGTACCGCCAAAGCCCTGTATCCAGATTTGGCACCATAGGTTGGCTCAGCTCTTTCAACCTTTTATTTCTGCTAACAAAATTGTGAAGTTGTGTATCGGCATAATAGGCGATTATAATGCCAGATAAACAGAGTCCTGTGGCAACAAAGTCCCATACATTCAATGGCATATTCTCTGAGTGGACAACATACAGGGGCGTGCATATTCCCATTAAAAAGACCTGCAAAGTCAAAATTATGCAAACACTACAACTTCAGCAACTGGAAACATAGAAGTTGATGATAAGCAAAGCCTAGCAGCCATCTTGAAGTGTAAACTCCTTCAAATTTTTGTCAAGTTTCTAGTTGCAAGAAGGATTCAACTAGTATCATCTTGTCATACAAAAAGCATCTATGAAGAATAAAGAATAAAACTTTGATTACTATCACTCAGGTTTTCAGGTTTATGGGATTTCATGGGTGTTTTTTGCTTCAAGTTTCACAATTCTAAATGGAAGTGGTATCATCAACTTGTAGAGCGTGGATCATGCTGACATTAAATACTTATAGTTTAGCAAACAGCAAGCACACTAATGGGTAAACATGATTGTAAACGGAAGGATTTAATACATCCCGTCTTCCTCGTCCAATTATTTCTTTCCTGGACATAAACAAGTTAGTAATGCCTAGCTTTATTAGACTTTTTTTGTTTGTGTAATCAGGATTTCCACCGTCGAACACAGTAACTAATCCCCATCGATGAATTGTAGGCACCTCTAATGGCAAGTTAGTAATGCCTAGCTTTATTAGACTTTTTTCTTTGTGTAATCAAGGTTTCCATCGTCGGACACAGTAACTAATCCCCTCGATGAATTGTAGGCACCTCTAATGGGTAGGACAGCTAGCCTGAAGATTTAAGGTTGCACCTCTAATGGTTAAGGATGGATGAGTCCCTTCCACTCAACCACGCCCAGGTTAGCTTTATTAGACTATGGATCAGAGGGATTTGGTATTGCTTTTAGGTCCAGTGAAAGTATGTTCAATGTATGAAGAAAACTAGCACAAAGCAGCAAACTTTATTATATGTTGAGTGACCTTTAATTTTCATTGTCTATAGTGATCTATCCATGTGCAGCTTTCTCCTTGTCATTGCACTAATATGAATGACCAAATTAACTAAAACCATAAAGGGATTAAAACCGAAAATTATACCTTTCATTTGAAGCTCAAACATAAGGTAAACTAGATAGTCCAGAAATTTCACAGAGGCAATTTATCGTACACTTGGAGTGCACAAACAAAAAGCATACCTGCTGAGAAAGGTAAACGGCAAAGAAAGACACCCACCACCAATTCTTCCCATACTGCTCACTCAAATCAGTGAATCTCCAATCCTCCCTGGCGCCCCACTGCCACTTCTCCCGCCGGAAGTAGTTATGCGTCAGCCTTACACTCCATATCCACGTCAGAGCCACAACCGCCGCCGACCTCCAACCGTCGTACTCCCCCGCCGGATGACTCCGGTAGTAGTGCAACAGCAACACCGGAATCACAGTCCAGTACAAATCAATCATCTGCCCATCATTCCAACCAAAACTGTTAAAAAAACAAACATCTAGTCAATGATTCCGTTAAAATTATAGCGTTTATCGGAATAATTACCCAGTGGCTTGATTGGAGGAGGCCGATGATCCAGAAGAGGAGGTTGACGTTGAAGAAGAAGAAGAGGTGGGAAAGTAGGAGAGGGTGGTGGTAGCACCAGTGCCAGAGAGGTGCATAGTGTGATTGTGGTTGATGGTAATGGCGGAGGAAAGAGAGGTAGAAGATGATGGAGGGAAGGGGAGCCAAGAAAGCAACCAATGCTCGCTTGAAATTGTTATGAGAAGAAGAAGCCATGTTTAATGTTTTGGATGGTTGGGAGGAGCGGGAAAGATGGTGATATATATAGTAGTACAACGTTGTTGAGCTGAAGCTGAACTTGGCTGGACAGTGGACATGACTATGCGAGCTACAGGGTGAGCCAGATCAAAAGTCAAAGGATATCTTATATAAAAATATTTTTTGAAAAATGATCATTTCTCGTGTTCAATTGCATTTCAGAAAATTATTTTTGTGTGTTTGTTTCATTTTTTGAAAAAATAAATAGAATTGTATAATTAAAATTTTAATTGTTGTTAACTAAAAAAAGATTTGACAACAGTTATTTGACAGTAGTTATGTTTTGTCCAGCTATTTTTTTTTTCTAAATAAGGAGTAGCAAACAAAATATTAAAAATAAAAAAGAGTACTGATTTCCGGCAGAAATCAGTCTGGTTTTGTCGGAAACCAGTCAAGGGAAAGAAAGCCGAGGAAGCATTTTCGAAAGAAATCACGGAAGAAGTCAAGAAGAAGAAGCAGTTGGATCCAAAAAATGACTTTGCTCAAGAAAAAAAAGAAGTCATTTTTCAAAAAAAAAAAAAAACTAAGCTATTTTCCTTTTGACCGGAAATCATTTTTCATTGACTTCAATTTTCCACCATTTCTCAATAGTGAAATGTGTATCCATAATATATAAGAATTAGACATCATCAATAACTTTAATTAAATTAAACACCATCAATTAAACCAAACACATAATTATAACAAATAACATGTGGAAATTAAATGCCAATTTCACCGAATCTCAAATTGATTGCAGCGTGATATGGTTCCATAACAAAGTGAAGAAGAAGAAGCACAATCATCATTAAGGACTATGCAAAAGATGATTAAAAGATACTAAAAAGCTATATTTTGGGTGTAAGATCATAGGATAATGCTACGAAGGTGGTGCATGTCATGATGGTTTATAGGGTGATAATGGTGTGGCTAATCATTTTTTTTTTTTGCAAGAACTGCACAGCTCATATGGCACCCAAAAGCCAAAGTCCCATGGACCACTTTTTTTTAGGACATCCTCAATAGTGAAGTTTTTGTTGTAGTTTTTAAAAAAAATTGTAAGTGTTTTTAGAAAAGAGAAGATGTGATGAAAGAGGGAAAAAAACAATACAAGCTGATTTTAAAAAAAAAAAAAGTAAAGTGGACTCCACATTTCTGCAACACACAAGAGAGACCGAGAGAGGCTAGCAAAGTGGACCTTACATTTATGCAAAAAAACTCATGTTTGCAGAAGGCATTTTATCTTTTCTCTCTCTATCTCTATCTCTCTTTCATGTTGGCAAATTTTTTTTTAAAAAAGTGTGAGAAACCTTCTAATGGGGGTGGTCTTAGCCACTTTGTCAACGCCCACCCCCCTCACCCATCCCATGAACATGATTAGTTTTACCGTGTGATTGTTAATTCACTGCCTCAGAAAACATGTGATTATACCAAAATTACTAAATTAATTTGATACATGTATGAGAAACTATTATCTTTTATTTTTATCACTCATGACAAGAACGATGTATACTAATTCTCAATTCTTTTATTATTTTCTCCTACCCTCTCTCTTTTTTACCAATAAAGAAGTTTTTACTTTCCTTAGTAATAATTTGCCAACTTGTAATTCACTATCAAGAATTCCCCGTATAGGAACCTTATGTATATTTACCCAAATAGTAAATAATCATAATACTTCACTCAAATTAAATACTAGTAAATTTTAAAACTAGTCATATTGAGTCAACAAAGAGCCAAAAATTTTATCAAAAAGCCCTAATTTAAATTAAAGGAATATGAATTGTTTAAATATAAAATTGAGTGTTCGAACTCATATGTATATAAATGCAGATATTACGAAAAATCATTTACAAGATAATAGTTTGAAATTTAACAGGATTGAAGAGCAATCATGGTGATATGAGTCTCCATGTCTTCCTTCCAAGCTAACATCTAATCTTTGTTTCAATGACAAATTAAATATCATTTGTTGATTCTCTTAAAAATTTGTCAAGTTTGATGATATATACATGATGAATGTAAAAGTACAAGGTCCCTTTGATTACTATGATATGCCTCAAGTGACTTACAGGCCCCAAATATTTATAAATTTATTTTAATTTAATTAGCTAGTTAAGTTATACTCTAAACTAAAACTTTTCTTTATAATATCGTAACAAGCATTGAATAATAAAAGAATAAAAATAAAAATCCATCCCCTTTCCTAATGGCATCTGCATGCGCATACTAATTAGATGCTCTCTTTTGGCGCAATGGGGTACCCATTTTAATTAATCATTTAATTATCTAAAAAAAAAAAAAAAAAAAAAAAAAAAACAAACAAACCTTTTCCCCGTTTTCAGCTTCTTTTTCCTCTTTACTTGCTGGGGTAAAAATGAAAATAATTTGAATTTATTGTGTAACCCTATCTCCAGACAATGGCAATTGACATCATACATCTGTTTGAAATATTAAGACTCTGTATTTAAACATATTAGAATTCATTTTTTCTCTCATTATATTATTAAGAGTATTCTTATTTATCATTTTTATTTGACTATAACTCTTTGTATTCTTATAAATACATCTGATCATTATGTACTTTCAATCATCATGGATTGATCAATAATAATATCAATCATCATCTCTTCATCATTTCTATCTGAATAATCCCA